GGGAGGGGGCCGTACAGGGGACAGGTGGCTCGGAACCAAGCAGGCAGCAGCTGAGATGCTGGAGCGGCGGCTGCGGAAGGGGACGGGGCCGAGCGGGAGCCATACCTCAGCTATACAAACATCCCATAAATACATACGCATATACACCCCCTAAATACATGTATGTATACACCCACAAATATATATATACATATCAGATAGACACACCCCATAAATACATATCCACTCCATAAATATCTCTGTAGAGCCCATCCGGCAGAGTTCAAACCCCAGTTATTAGCAGCTGGCTGTGGCTCCCCCATCCATCCACCTTGCCTGCGCTTTGACGTAACGACGGAAGGAGCCAGCTAATCCCCCCCGCCAAAGATGCCTCTCCCCGGGGCTCTCCCTGCATCCCCCGGGGTGACGTGTGCGTCCCCTCGCCCACGAGGACCTGGCCATAGCCCAGGGACCTCCCGGCAGGCAGCGTCCCCGGGGAGGCGGCAGCCGCAGAGCATCACCACACGGCATCGCCAAGGCGGCAGGCGGCCGTCGGCGCAGGCACGTGGTGGCGATAATGAAATGAGGTATTTAGGCCATTAAAAATTAACTCCTGAAATTAAAAGGGTTATTCAAGCCTTTCCGACGGAGCCAAGGAACGTGGCTGCGGGCAGACGGGAGGCAGCGCCTGCCTGCGGCGTGGGGATGGGGGACGTCCCCTGCCTATTGCCTCGGACAGGGCCGAGTTGCAGTGGGGGTCCCAAGGGACCCAGAGGGTCACTCCCCACCCCTGCCGCAGGGACAGGATCCTGCCCTTCCCCTAGCCTAAAGAACCCCTCGGCAAGCCGATGCCGACCAAAGGAGAAGCCAAGGAGGTCCCCCCCAGCTCCGCATCACCATGCCACCTGGGGGTCCCCCCCACATCCCCGAGCTGTGCCCCATTAAGCACCAGAGCCCCCCCATTCTGCCAGCTGGCGGCCACTGAGACGGCATTCGCAACGAATTCCTGTCACGCTAACGATCACTGGGGCAGATGGAGTGGCCACGTAGAGGGACGAGGGACGAGTCGAAACCCCTGGGGCAGGGAGCCGCTGCGGGGCCATGTGCTGGAGCCCGGGGGACGTCGGAGCGATGGGGTGGCTTCAGAGCCACATCTCCAATTAAAGGCAAGCCCCGGCGTTGCTCCCAGCCCTCTTGCTTTGACAGCACGATGCCTGGAAATGCGGCTAATCTAAACACCGTCCTTGCAGGGAGCTGCTGGAGCTCCCATCTCGCCCCTTTAACCACTTCAGCCCCGTCCCCTGTCCTGAGCCACCACGCAGGAACGAGGTGGGTGAGGGTGGGGGCAGCTCGGTGCTTGCTAAAAGGAAGTGAAAAATTAACCACTTCAGCCCCGTCCCCTGTCCCGAGCCACCACGCAGGAACGAGGCGGGTGAGGGTGGGGGCAGCTCGGGGCTTGCTCAAAGGCAGTGAAAAAGTCTGGTTTTCCACAAAACTGAAAAAACCCCCATGAAATCCAGCCCCGTTGTGGATGGAGACGCCGTCTCCTCCGCTGGGACCTGCAGGGAGCCCTGGGGGGGGAGCACTGCTGGCCCCCTCCCGTTGCCCGGCCACGCTGAGCACCGTCCCGCTGCGTTCAATTAAGCAGGTGCTTCTTCATTAAGCACCAGCGATTGGCTTTATTAGCTCTGGGCAGACACGGGGCCCCAGCAGGGAGAGGATCGTGTCTTGTCCCACTTCCAGCAACTGGGACAGAGCCGGAGCCCGGGAAGGAGCTGGCTGAGGCTGGGGGGAGCGACGCTCCAAGGGGCTCTGCCCCGCACGGCCAGACCACCACCTCTCCCACAGCTGTGAGGAGGACAGAGCCCCTTCGTCCTTCCTCCCCATCCTCCTCTTCCTCCGCTCCCTCCCCCAAGGCCTTCCGCCATCCTTCCACCCCACTCCAGGCTCCGCTGGAGATGCCCAGGGACCTGCAGCCCCTGCGGTGCCCATCCCCGGCCCCCTGCCATCCT